GAACGAATCTCCTGTGCGGATCAGATGCCATTTTACCTGAAGTAGGTACTAATTTAACTCGGCGGGGATGCAATTTTACTGTATCAAAAAAATCCCGTTTCAATGAACAATTCAAGCGTGCCCCAAGAATGGAATCTAATGCCGTTGTTCCAATTTTGTGACTAAACTGTTTTAGCAGTTTATAGACCGGTAAGTCTTGCGTCAGTTGTATGTAAGCTAATGGAACCATCGATTTCTAGCTTCATTAAACAAGAATGGGAACAAAAAGAACATATTTCAGGGATAGTATGGTTTATGGAATGTTTTTCTTGCGAGAATCAGAAATTATCATCGTTACTTCAGCTTCTAAGCCAATGATCTTCATCTCGAATTGGTTTTCGTCCAATTTCCCTGATTCTTGAGCAAATGCTGAGATGGGCCCTTTTGCTCCCACTGAGATGGCACACACAGTTTTTAACAGTTTTTGACGTAAATAAATAAATACGTTTTAAGACATGGCAGATAAAATAGATAGTGTAAGGGTGGATGCCCTAATAAATGACTTTGCCAAAGCATTAGATGCCATTCCATGCGATGAACTAGTTCAGAAATTCCTGTGTTCAGGTGCTGACGTGGATTACTAAAATATTCGCAGAAATAATAAATATCTAATAAAATTGATGCAATTAAATTTCTTAAATATTTTTCTTCTCAGCAATAAAAATCTCGTAATCGGTACTCTACTTAAAGATTTATTCTATCTAATAATTTCTCCTTCGTAACACAGTACAATTAAAATAGCAGCAAGAATAAGCTGGAATTTTCTCAGAATGTGCTGCATGAATGTGCGGTAGAATGTAGAGCCCTAAACACATTTCAACATTAGTCTAGTTAAAGATTAATCCAGTACGAAAGGATAAGCAAATTACTAACGGAAAGTATTAAGTTGTTGTTGAAGGTTATTGAACTGAATAAAGAGTGCAAGATTGTCCAGTTATCATACTTTTTTATTACCTTGGTTACTTTTCGATCATGTAGCGATCACCTTCAGACCTCGCAAGCACCCACCAACCGGAAAAGCAATGTATCCATGTATCTCATCCTTTGTTCATTTTTTTCACATAGTGTCTGGCAGCCTACTAGAAAATGATCGTTGCGCAATCGAAAAGTAATGAAGTTGATAAACAAATAAGCTACTTGAACAACATAAGTCTTTTTATTTGCAACGTCTTTTAGTATTGAAAAAATTGAAAATATGCGAATGTAAATGAAAAATATGAACACATTCACAATGTAAATTAACACTATAAATAAATGACAATATACGAATGTAAGTGAAGAATATGAACACATTCACAATGAAAACTAACATTAAAAATAAATGAAAATATAAATGTAAGCGAAGAAAATAAACGTATTCGCAACGAAAATTAATATTAAAAATAAATGAAAATACATCATTGTAAGTAAAGAATATGAAATGCTGGCATTGAAAATTAAATGACAAATAAATGAAAATATGTGACTGTAAGTGAAAAACAATGAAAATTAATATTAAAAACAAATGAATGAATACGATTGCAAATGAAGAATACGAGATTATATCTCGTGCGTAGTCGCCTTTTTGGCCAACTCACCGTCGTTGAGCTTCTGGTCGTCGTGGCCGTCGCGGCCGCGCAGCAGCCGCGAGATGGCGCTGACGGAGGGTGCGCTGTTGCGGTCGCAGAGCCCGTCCTTGATCAGCCTGCAACACACGCCCCCGCGCCGCATTGGAACACGCGCACCCTTAAAAGGCCCGCTCGTAAACACAAGCAAAACACATAGACTTAAAATTTAACATAAGAGATATTATCAAGTATTCACAATGTTTAACATAAACGGAAGCAAAATACGAGTTTCTATTGGCTGTGAGACATTGTAGTTTACTATTGGTTGGATGTGAGAATCGATTTCGAGGTATCGACCGTGTCCATGGCCCATTGGTGTTAGTTCGTCTATTGACTTCGATCCAATTTCGATTCTCGATTTTGAGTTAACGTTCTGTGATTGGTTTATTTCTTATGTCTTACTTAAGCATAAGCACAGAAGCTTGAATCTTGCAAAATTGTAAGTTAACGTCTTACGTGTTATGCTTATGCGAACGCATTGTGAATGAGTCCGCTTATGAACGTAGTCCTAACTTTTGTGTTAACGTCCAGGGAACAAGACCGCATCGTCGCGGTTTTTCGGCCTTATGACGAATACATTTTCAAATATGCTAGTATCGTTCAAAAAAAGCGATTTTAATGCAATTACCATTTATTTACCTTTCTGTTATTTTGTTATTGATTTGTCGAGGAAACATTATGATTTTATAGAAGAGGAGGAATAAGAAGAATTTTCATCGCATTCAACTTGATTTGTCACTGATAAACATCCATGAAATTAAATTAATTACTTTTTAAACAATATTGTAATTGGGTTGCTTTTACCGGCTTAAATCGGTTCATAATGAAAGCATTTCCTATTACATTGAAAACTGTAGACCCAAGTTCACATTGTAAGGTTTAATCGAATAAACTACAAGGATTGATTTGCGTATCATTTAATTCCAGCACAAGAGTCATCTTTTAAAATGAAACAATAAATCACATGGCTCTATGATGCTCTTTTAGCACGTAAGTTTCGAAGAAGTCAGCCGAAGTTTACGTCTTGACATATGTGTCACTGTATTAAAAGCTACTATATTAAGTGACAATATAATTATTATATCTGTGGAATTGATAGAAGTCTCTTTGTGTGATCGCGTACTGTGTCGTGACTTCTCCATCGTATAACTTGATTATAATTCATATCATTTCATGCCAATATTGTGATTACTTCGTTGTTTAAGAATTCTTAGGTTCCAGTTTTACAGAACAATGAACTATCAGAGAGAAGCTACGTTAGGGTAGTTCATAGTAAGGGAAGATCAGAGATTGGTTACGTTAAGGGATTTCGCTTTGATATATCTTAGAAGTTCTTCAACATTTCTCCTTGGAAAACTTTCTTTTTACAGCAAACTTACGACTCGTCTTTCCCGTAGCAGACACCACTTTCTGGAACGTGGTGGGCATGCGGAAACGACCCCCCCCCCCACTGGCATAGAAACGCATAACCAGAATAGGAGACGCCGGGAATTAATATCGGATTATGCATGGCGCTTTATGCCCCGAGCGAGAAGTAGCGTCGCTTTATGAACAGCGTTTCCTGCAAGCGCGCAACCCCCCCCTCCCCCCGAGAGAGTTTTATTATTTCTCGTCAACGCGACGTCACCTGGAGCTAACGACGCGGGTGTCGCCGCTCGCGGATTACGTTACGAAATTATCCTGCGGCTCCCTTGGTCGTTGCGAACGCGCGTGCGGGCGGCCAAATGAGGACTGCGGGCCGTAAAGACACGTGAGGATAGGTGCTTGGCGAGTGGGGATGTACGGCGGCTTGGAACGCGCCAAAGGCGGACAATTCTTTTTCATGTGCCGAGTTCCAGGTTCCGTTTAACGGGCTGTTCTTTTTCGCCGCGTCCCGAGTTCAGGTTCCGTTTAACGGGCTGTACCCAGACAAATCGATCGTGCATAACTCTAAAATATGAACCGTAGTGTCTTAAGTCTTGAGTTTTGAAACAAAGGCCTTGTGTTATGGTCCTCATGCCGAAATCTAGAAAGGCAGATATTTTGGGACTTTCTCTTACTTTTCCTGAAGTTCCTCTCTTCTGAGTACGCTCACTCCAAGGTAAGGGTTGTTAAGTACGTGAGTAATCTTCACTTTTAATTAAAGTATTCTAAGCGATTTAAATTTAGGGATCTGTTTGGTGATAATATACGACTTCGTAATATTCTCGTTTTTAAACAAACAGACACGATGCAACTTATTTCACTTACGCGGATGTGGGGGAAAGAGTTGGGTTGCGTTTCCAAACAGGAGAGATCTCAAACGAGTGGTCCAACGCCTTCTCTAGTGAAAGATCCTAAAGAAATATTAAACCACTTATCAACATATCAATATCACACAATATCACAATAACTGTTTTTCAAAAAATTATATAATTTCAAAAATAATATGTTAGAAAGCCAAAATATTTTTTTTCGCCACAAAGTCACTTTCTATTAAATATGATAATGAAATGAAAGCAGTTTTGTGTGCCATGACCCAACGCACACCATAGCGTGTTATCCCCACCCTTGGTAACCGAGGGGTAGGAGTATACCGAGTGTGTCCACGTACGAGCCCTCGCTCGACCCTCTCCAGCGTTG